TTAGCTTTCTACGAAAGTTTCGAACTCGCAAGTTCGAACTGAGCTATTTTGCCGTGAGCAATTAATTCATTTAAGCCTTTTGCATTGCATTAAACCCCGTGAGGTTTTTCGCATGTAATTTGCCGCATGCGCTACATAATTTCTACGTCCTAAATTCTCGTATTTTCTAAATTACTCGCCACTGAGGTCGCGGTAATTTATAATTAGATTCATTCGCTACGTGATATACAGGGTATTCCAAGAGTCAGTTGTCTGAGCACCGACCAGCAATTGACTCACAATAAGAATTCGTTGACAACAGTCTATCTACGACATTCGCAATTTTCATTGCGAATTAAAAAAAACTAAAGAATTCAGTCTGTGATTTTCATTGCGGACTATAAACTTTACCGCCGTGGCAATCGCGTGCCTCAACGAGGTATTTACCATCAGTGGAGCTAATTGACCGTTGCCGAACGCCTGCAAGGATTTACGGTCTCTTGGCCCCCAGAGAAGCAAGAACAAGAGCAACTCACCAAGAGGCTTTGCACTGGGTTTGACGCCGGCGTCTGCCCTAAGCCCTAGAAGCAACAAGACAGAGCCAGCGTTCTAACGACAGGGTGCGACAGTAAACCGCCCTCGAGGAAGCGACTAGGCCCAAGCAAGAAAAAGACGACCATCGGTCACCCGTGAAATATAGCTTCGTGCTCGACTGGCACGTCGTAAACCGGGCTTACGTGCGGCCAGATGAGGTGGTGAAGATTCGCGCTCGTGTTTCGCGTTAGGGACTTTGCTGTGCGCACCACCGGAACATGAAGGCCCTTAAGAGAAGCAGGGTAGGGTTTTAAGAACATCCCCCATCAAATTTCCAAAATGGAGCCAGAGCATCGAAGAAAACTCAAACGCTGACGGCGGCTTAATTTCTATGTCCTGGTGACGCTTCGGCCGCGACTGCGTAGTTCTCCTAAGCGGGACTTGTAAAAGCCATCGGCTTGGCGCTGCGCGGTGACGGACGACGTTTGAAATGCCAAAATTAATGCCGGTGCGGTAAACTATATTTATTAATATGTAATTAAATAAAAACAACACAAATGTGGGGTGTCGGAAAATCACTTCGTTACAAGGTTATTGATATTATTATAGTGCCACTGACGTATTTAGTCAACAAGTCTTTTGAACTTGGTATTTTCCCGCAAAATTTAAAAACTAATAAAGTAATTCCCTTATTTAAAAAGAATCATCCGACCTTAATGGAAAATTATAGACCCGTTGCTGTTCCGTATGGGTTCTTCAAAATATTTGAATATGCATTTTTAGAACGCCTTTTATCATTTGTTAATCACTGAAATCACGGAAGTGGGAATGACTGAGAGCAGCTGCATGGGTTTCAAAATGCGTATGCGCGATAAAAGATGGCTTTTCTCGGGAACGCCGAACGGTAGCACTTATCAAGACGATTTTTCTTTTAATGAGAGAAATACGAATAGGTCATCAAAAATCAATAAAATAAATAATTTTTGCAATAAATAAATTGTTTATAGAGTCAAATATTGAAACATTTTTTAAAAATTCTAAAACTGGTAATAAAAGTGTAAAAATAGGTATTTTTGGTATTGCTCATTGTTTATTATGACAAGTGTCTCTAAAAATTGTGTGTCCTTTCTAAACCTTAATTTAAACCCACGGTACGCGGTAAACTTTTTGAAATTTTCTTAATTAACAATCCTGTGAATGGAAAACCACGCTATCGATCGTTGCAAAATTTTTAGGGTAGAATTTACATATGTTTTACTATTTGTTCATAAAGTTTCATTAATATTTTTAAATATTTACTTATTTTAAAAATTGCTGAAAATATACATATGATTTTCTACTATTTTTTGCCCATTGTTAATGCAAAATTCAACTTTTTTGATTCGCAGTTGTTTTAACTTTATAGAAAATCGTCAAATAAACAAAAAATAAAGAATGGCTTTTTTTGATTTAGAGCTTACTTCCAGGAAAAAATATGTCGAAGAACGGGCCATTTTTCATTATTTTTTGTTTGTTTGTTGTTCCCCTGAATTTAGCAATTGTTTTTTGGAATAGGCAAACTCGAATTCTTATTCTACATAATATTTAAGATTTTTCTGTACAACAAAAAAAAATAACTTCAAATAAAAACGCCTCGAATGCTCCACCGCCTGGACTATTTTGCTACTGTTACATTTCGTTAAAACTTTCTATGAGACAGTTGACAATATTTACTTCATTATCAAACGATAGCTTGATTTTAGTGGAGGTAGTTGCAAAAAAACTATTATGGTTATTTTTCGTAGCATGCAAATACAGGGTGGGCCATTAGTGTGAGAAAGTAAAATAATTCCCCTGTTACTCATAATACAGAAAAAAAGTTATACAGAATCAAGAAACCTAAACTACAAAATTAATTTGATACATACAGGGGTGATGAGTAAAATCGGGACATGTCAAATATTACATTTTTTGGAACAAACACGTATATTTTTTAACATATGGATTTCCGAGAAAATTTTATATATGGCAATATACACAGTTTATCATTTTAGTGCGGGGTTGCCAAGTTATGTAGAAAATTCTTCAAATTTTGGAAAAAACATGACCTCGAAGAAGTTCTATTAACTTTCAACTAAGTACTAATACTTAGAGCAAAAACATTTGATAGAGTTGTAGACAAATGTTAGGCAAAGATGTTAGATATTTTATACAGGGCATTTTTTATAATATGATCATTTTTAGAAAGTTTAAACTGATTTTTTAACACCCTGTATTTTATTGTTCTATTTTATTCACATATCGGTCCACTTCAACTTTTATTAAGCATGTTCTATATCTAAAATTGTTTCTAAGATATAGCAACATTTCTGAAAAAACTTAATTTTTGTTATTTTATAGAATACCATAAATAAATATTAACTAATAAAATTAACTCACAGTGGAATGATAAATTATGAACTGACAAGTTGACACAATGTGACAGTTTTTTCCAAAGCCATTTCGTGAGACCGAAAATAATAAAAATTAGGTTTTTCCAGAAATGTTGCTGTATCTTAAAAACTAACGACTTTAGGTGTAGAACATACTTAATAAAAGTTGAAGTGGACTAATATGTGAATAAAATAGAACAATAAATACAAGGTGTTCCATTTGAAAAATTTTAGAAAATCAAGTTTGAACTTTCTTAAAATGATCGTATTATAAAAAAATGCCCTTTATAATATATCGATGTTAGCTAATATAGGAGTCTTTGCCTAACATTTGCCTATAACTGTGTCAAATACTTTTGCTCCATGTGTTAGTAGTTGAAAGATATTACAACTTCTTCGAGGTTATGTTTTTTCCAAAAATTCGAAGAATTTTCTACATAACTTGGCAACCCCGCACTAAAATGATAAACTGTTTATATTGTCATATATAGAATTTTTTCAGAAATTCATATGTTTAAAAATATACAGGGTGTTCTATTTAAAAAATGTAATATTTGGCGTGTCCCGTTTTTACCCATTGCCCTGTGGGTTTCAAATTAATTTTGTCCTTTGGGTTTTTTGATTCTGTACAACTTTTATATAAACTTTTTTTCTGTATTATGAATAACAAGGGAGTTATTTTACTTTCTCACACTAATGGACCACCCTGTATAATTTTTAGAATAACTAGAAATTTACAATATTACATGTTATTAAATTATATTAAAAGATTTATTTTTCAAATAACATAAAAGTACATATATTACGTATAAATTATCGACCTTAATAATTCATTATTTATCAAAATAGCTAGATTTAAAATTATTAATACTAAGTATATTATTTATAAAAGTATGTGGATTGAGGTCTGGCTGTCGGCAAACTCGTTTCTGTGCATGATCGACAACAATCTTTGGCAAAAAACTTATGTGCACATAATTCATATTTTACTATATGCGAACAGATTAATCCTTTATCACTGCAGCTGGTCCCTAAAATTACAAAACAATATTATTATTATCCAGGGTGTTTCAGACTACCCGTCCACCCCTTCTGAAATCTAGGGTATCTAATAAAATGAAAAATTCAATACCTCCTAATAGTGAATGGACTATGCCGGATCGATTGGAGGTATTTTCAACTTCCGGCTACCACCGGAAGTGGCCTATTCAGACCGAAAGTCAGTTTTTTGGAATGGAATACTTTTTCTTATTGATCTCGTTTCCACGTCGAAAACTAACAGTTTTGTAAATTTTTTTTTTTTTGTAAATCATCGATTTCCACCCCAAAATGCCCGAAATGGAAGTGTTCCCTGAGAAGTGACACAAAGAAATGAAGCGCACTGTGAAAATTTGTTAAAATAATGGCTTTCGACTTTATCTGAAAGTGGAAGGCATTTCGGAAAGGCATTTTGGGGTGGAAAACGATGATTTAGAAAAAAAAATACAGAAGTTTATTAGTTTTCGGTGTAGAATCGAGGCTAATAAGAAAAAGTATGCCATTCCATTTAAAAAAATTAACCTCCGGTCTGAATAGGTCACTTCCGGCGGGAGCCAGAAGTTGAAAATGCCTCCAATCGATCCGGCATAGTCCATTCACTATTAGGAAGTATTGCATTTTTCATTTTATTAAATAAACTAGATTTCAGAAGGGGTGGGCAGGTAGTCTCAAACACCCTGTATAAGTTATTTTGTCATTACTTCGTTCACATAACATTTTAAAAAAACAAATTTAAATTGTCAAAGATAATTCAAAGTCAAAAAATGAAAAGTTGTAAGTTCAGAAGACGAAAACAGATACATTTTGGAAACGTTAACATCTTTTTGAAGTACGCGATATACAGTGTGTCCCACTTTTCATGGAGCTACCTTGATATCTCGCTCACCTGATATCCGAATATTTTAAAACTTTGGTGGTGAATCTACAATCTTTAGACATAACCATATTTGATATTGTCAGAGGGGTCCGATTCTGAGATGGGAAAAGGGGGTCGATTTTTCAAAAAAAGTATTAGAAATTTTTTAGAAAAAAACTAGATAACTAGATATTTTTAATCAACACCCTTAGAAACCCCTTTGTACAAGATTACATCGTTGTGGATTCAAAGGTGTTTGAGATATGGGCTGTCGAAAAACAATTTTTTTCAACGTAAAATAATTTGTATATGTAAAATGGGCTCTTAAATGAAAAAAACATATTCTTGGCCGCGGACGGCTAAACTTCTCTTAAAACTGTGGTCAACATCAACAATTGAATGGACGCGCTTGATAATGCACTGAATTAAAATCATTAAAATTAATCGATCCGCAGCTGACAAACATTTGACGTTTTCGTTATTTTCGATAGCAGCTCCCTGACATGTTTGTGTACTGGAACCGATTGAAAGCGTATAAAAAGATCCTTTTAGAACTAATAAATTAACGGTGTTAGTCCAAAGATTAAAATGACCTTTAGCGAGTCGTGCTGAAGAAATGGTGGAGTTCTTACTAGACTATTTTGAACACTAACTTGAAAATGGAGGAGCTATTTCTTCCACTTACCTCTGTAAGAGACGTATGTTGTAATAGGGTCGTTTCACATATTTTTTTCATATTTATTTGAATTCAGCATGTTTCAAAATTAATATAGGTTTTTTTAAGAATTTTGTTTTACTAATATTAACTGAGATATATAACTTTAAAATATGAACATTTTCCGTCCTTTTCTATAAGGCGTTGTGACGTCAACTATGTCGCATGCGCATTACGCTTTAAATTTAAGTTAGTATAATAAGTTAAGTTGGCTATTCTGACATTGCTGTCACATTTTCTGTCATTTACCATTTACTATTTGTTGTGCTGGTGATCGGTTGTGTTTTTTTGAGTGTTATTTTTGTTTATTATAATTTTAATTAACATGGAGAGTATGAAATATTAAACTTAGTCCATTGTAAAGTTACATTTGGGGTTGCAAAAGTCAGAGCACTCAATTTTATTTTTTGGATGTCAAGAGGGGGTTAGTGTAAAGTTAAATCCATATTTGTGGGGTCGCAACCCTTGTGCCTCGGCCGCCATCTTGTAAAAAGTGCTGCGAATGCTTTTTGTACTACTACTTACTATATCGGGCAAACTATTCGTCGCACTGAAAATTTGTAAAGACATTTTTTGTTGAAAATTAAATTATCTACAACTTTGGTTCCGTAAAAAGCAATATTTACTCTTCCTAAAAGTAAAAAACTCACCAAGTTATTTTTGTGTTTAGGAGATTTTTCATGTTTCTTAATTTTGTCTGGTAGAGTCAGAAACTCCAGTTTTCGTTCAGTTTTCTTCGCCTCCTCCAAACAATAAACATACAAAACAAAAAAATCTATTTGTTTCGTCACAACCAGACAACCACAGGGTCTTATCATAATTGTTTTTATCAAATTTGCGGATAAAAGCCGGCCTACTTTTGCACTTGAACTATGTAAATTCAACACTGGCGTTGGACATCCATTATTTTTCAATTCGACTTTTTCCTCTAATCTTAAATTACTAATAACAAGTTTTTTTATTTCACAAACCCTCATTTTAAACTTAAACTTATAAAATATAATGTCTTAAAAAGCGCCAAAGCAAAAACAAAACACATATAACAACACTTCAGTGATACGGGTTACTGCCGTATGGAGTCCAAAACAAAGCGCGCGAACCTATCGTCGCCTATCCCCTCCATGTGCCAATTTGTCCAATCATATGTAAAAATATGCTTGCACGATGGACTCAGATTTCACCGTCCGCGATGGAGTGGGGATTGCGCGCGCAGTCAAAGATAACTATTTGGTACGATCATAGATGGCAGATGGCATTAAACTGAGCTACGTTCACGGAGTACATGCTCTTTATGCAACCAACCTAACATCCAAGACATACTGAATGCATGCTATTTAGATTTTTTATTGATTTAAATAAACAAATTATTTTAAGTTTACAGTTTGAAAATATCTGGGGGGGCGGAGTCCCAGAGACCTCCCTCACGAGCCGCCACTGAATGGGCCTCATATACAAACGTACCGACGACGTTACAACGGGCATGCTGATGTTCCCAGCTTAGTAGATGTTGGAGCAAAATATCATCACGATTGCAGCAAGTAGTTGTATTCCAAAAAATGGTGGAACGAAAATAAAAATGATGAGCGTAAAAATAACATTGATGAAGTCATGGAGTATATTTTTACTTACTTACATGACAATAGTGAAGAGAGCTCATCAAAGAGACTGAGGACACAGTAGATTGGGAAATATATTTCGATATTATTAATTACACTTATTATTGTCAGCTAGAAAATATCCGTGGATTCTGCCTACTAGGGATACGACGTAAAAAAAACGCGCCACCAAACTCGTAGGGGATGGGGAAAAGAGTCAATAACTAATTAACAACATTGCAATGTCAATCATTAAAATGTTTCTTCTAAAAATAATGGAAATATGAGCGAAAACTATTCCTAATCATTCATATTAATGTATACCTACTGGAGAATAGTGTAACTTTCGCATCGCTGTAAAACACTAATAAATAAATAAAATTTGAAAAAAATTTGTAATAGAAATTATTCCTTGAAATCCTCTATATCAAAATGCTCTGATGTAATTTTTTTGTAAAATGACCAGAAAAAAAAGTTATAATGACCAAAAGAAAATTTGTCCCCAAATTTGTATCTATTTTCATTAATAACTTTGTTATTCTTGGTTCTACGACTAAAAGTTTGTAACAAAAAATGTATATACAAATTTTCTGTGCGACGAATAGTTTGCCCGATATAGTAAGTAGTAGTATAAAAACCATTTGCAGCCCTTTTTACAAGATGGCGGCCGAAGCACAAGGGTTGCGACCCCACAAACATGGATTTAACTTCACACTAACTTCCTCTTGACATCCAAAAAAATAAAATTGCGTGCTCTGACTTTTGCACGCTAAGCGCAAAAAAAATTTAACATTTCAATGGACTAAATATACTTATCAGTTATTACTGCCACACTCACTATATAAGAATAAATAACACAGATCTACTATACTCGGCGGCCGAAATTATAAAGAATGACTAATACATAATATAAAAACACTATTACCATAATGCGTATAAAATATAAAATTATTTCTATACGGTTCAATATTATTTATCTTTGTACCGCTCGCCATGCACATCGGTAGAATCTATAATCGTGTATAGACCGAGTTACACTGAACGTCGATCTATATTTTATCTCTGTCTTTTGCACTTGGTAGGGAATAGGGAAATGCTTTTTTAGTGGGTGTAAACGGACTTGATTTGCCCGACCTGAGAAACGTCATAGCATAAGCGTAGACGAGGGGTCTAATTCCATGGCTATAATAAATTTATAAATTAAAAAAACACAACTGGGACGTTTTAAAATGCTGTAATAATTAAAATTGATCAAAGTGCCGGTTATAGCAAACCGTAAAAAATATTAGATGTTATGTTTTATTATGTTTTTTCAATATTTTCTATATCTTGTTGCCTTTTACGCAGACACGCCAATGGATTTTCGTTCCCGCCACGCTTCATCCCCCTTACTAGTCCAAGAGCTAGCGATGAATCACTATCTATAATTTTGGCCGTCTAGTATAGGTTTGTGATATTAACTTCAAATTATAAAGTATCAAAACTGTCATGAATCATAATGTCAAATCGTTTTTTGTATATTTTGTTTATGTCTCGATTGCGCTTGTATACGAGTTGACGTCACAGCAAGAGAGACAATAATTTTAGATAGGACAGAAAATGTGTTAAATTTTATTTTGATATTGTTCCTTTGTGATCCATTTTTTCTGAAGAGAAACTTAATGAAAGTGAATATATAAAGCTTTTACTATTGTTACACCAATTATAAAATGTATTTTAAATATTATTAATAATATTTAAAGGTTAAGTAAAAAATGTTAGGTTATGTTTGACAAAATTTCGAATCATTTTACACAATTCTAAATGAAAATTATTTTTTGGACTGTTCCCTAAATTATTTACATGAACCACATAATCTGTGGATCTAAGTTGTATTTCTAATATCTAGCTGTTTTACATTGACAATTTATTGATGAATAAATTGACGAAGTTTTCATGAATTAATTCACGAATTTGTTGGTAAACAGTGTGGTTTTACACTGCTACAGATTTTATCAAGTTTTTTGACGCATGAATCGGTTCTACCAACGAATCAGAGAAGCAAATAAATTTCAAAAATGTTACCTTTCCACTCATAATTGTAGTGATACAACAGCGGTACCGTTTTGACAGATATTATATAAATATTAGTGTTTGTAAGTAACAAATCAGTAAAAACAATACAAAACTAGTACGACGCCACACAATTATTTGCATATTCCAATAACATAACCTCATACTGATCTGAGGGTGTAAATCTGTTGGGTTGGTACTTCCGAACTTCAGGAAAAAATTGACGAAGATTAGAACATGCTCCAATTCGTCAAGAACTTGATGAATAAATTCATGAAGTTATTTAACAGGAGATTTGGTGTATTACACTTGTCCAATTTCTTGATGAAGCGACTTCATGAATTAATTGATCAATAAATTGTCAATGTAAAACAGCTATTATAAAATGAATTCGCTATTAAAAATTAATTTGTTTAAATATCCCAAAAAATATTACAATTTGCCAACACTGTGACGTCATTGTAAACTTATTGTAATGGACTATATTTTTATGCTTTTTTTCAGTCAAAGGTTTACTTCATTAATTTTTTTACAGGTGATAAAATACTCAATAAATCAAGAAGAAAAAACGAAAACTATGCCACAAGTAAATAAATTGAGACAAGATAAAAAATATATTATGCTATCCCAAAACCACTCCGTATCGGATCTCATTGAAATATTCTTAAAAGCAACGGAATTATCTTTAAAATATTAAATAAATGACGTTTATTTTAAGATATATAACTCCTTAACGACACAAAATTGTACTAAGGTATTTAAATCGGCTTATTTTTAACCAAGGAAGCTATCCTTGCAATATGGTTCATTCGTTTCCGGACACCTTGTATAATGAATCACCACAGTACAATTTTTGTATAAATAAACTAAAAATTCAAACAGAATATCTCAAAAACAGGAAAATCATTTGATGTAAAAACATTTTGTGATTTAGCAGATAATTTTGTTTTCAAGAGACGATAACGTGTATTTACCTTCTATTAAAATGTCTATGTTGCTTGATGTTGTGGAATGATAATTGGTTGCCTCACACACATAATGCCCCGAATCCGCCTTTGTAACATTTAAAATTATCAGTGTGTTAAAATCTGGAAAAAACAAAAAAACTGCTGAACTGCTGAAGAACTATTTGTTTTGTTTATAACTTTTTCTCTTGCTAGACCACAGAAATTTAAACATTATTGAAATGAGATATAATATAGACAAAATTATATACTGTTTGTTGAAGCCTATAAATGTTACCGTTTAGCAGGAAATCGCTATTGAAGTTTTAATACATCAAATTTATGATAATTATTTCTGTAATTAATCAAGTTGCCATGCTTCAAGTAAATGTCATTAGTAATTTTGGTGTTACCAAATTGTAACGAAAATTGTTTAAAGCAGGTATAAGTTTGATTTTTCACCATCATTTTTTTCCGTCTCTATAATGGCATTGTGGAAAAGTAAAATGAGAATGATGAATTTACTAGAGACCTCTCGACCTGTAAAAATTAGAATAAACCTCCACAATGATTACATCAAAAAGCGTGAATTTGATATATAAAAAATTTGAATGGTGAAAGATGTGTTTCAAATTATTCTGTTTTTTGCTGGCTAGTGGCTACAAATTATAAAAGATGAAGCAAGTAATAGGTAATAGTATAAACACCATATGATTATTTTACCAAGAGATCCAGAACGATTGAAGCGTTTGGGGGACGCAGCCTGTTTCTAACACCATCTTTAGCATATAATCTGTATATATCTGTAGTATTGACAGAGACAGGCACAGGCTGCGATCTCCAAACACTTCAATCATTCTGGATCTCTCTGTATATTAAAAGCTGCAGGTAGTTGTCGCTCCCACAATTATCTTGAAAAAGAGACATCGCAAGCACAGTCATGTGTGGTCGCCACAGGTAGCTAGAAGCAACTACTATACTCCGCGGTCGAAATTATAAAAGAGTGACTATGACATAATATAAAAACACCATTACCATAATGCGAATAAAATATAAAATGATTTTTATACGGTTCAATATTATTTATCTTTGTGCCGCTCGCTACGCACATCGATAGAATCTATAATCGTCTAGAGACCGAGTTACACTGAACGTCGATCTATATTCTATCTCTGTCTTTTGCACTTGGTAGGGAATAAAGAAATGCTTTTTTAGTGGGTGTAAACAGACTTGATTTAACCCGTCCTGAGAAACGTCATAGCATAAGCGTAGACGAGGGGTCTAATACCATGGCTATAATAAATTTATAAATTAAAAAAACACAAATGGGACGTTTTAAAATGCTGTAATAATTAAAATGGATCAAAGTGCCTGTTATAGCAAACCGTAAAAAATATTAGATGTTATGTTTTATTATCTTTTTTCATTATTTTCTATATCTTGTTGCCTTTTACGCAGACACGCCAATGGATTTTCGTTCCCGGCACGCTTCATCCCCCTTACTAGTCCAAAAGCTAGCGATGAATCACTCTATAATTTCGACCGTGGAGTATAGTACGAGTATTCGGTATAGATAGCTGCTACGTGCGGTTATTTTTTCTACCAGTGAATGCTACTTTTCATGAATTAATTTTCTGATCTGTTGGAGTATAGGTCAGACTGCACATCCCAAATAGTAGGAGGATTTTCAATTTCGGATATAAATACATCCTCGTCTATATTGTCCGCCATTTCTGTGCTCATAATTTCAGAATATGTACAAGTCGAACGGTGGCGATAGACTGTTGACTGAGTGTGGACGCTGTGGACTGTGTTTGAGCCGAAAGAAGAGTGGCTGTCGTCGGCTACAAGCAGCGCCGTAGCACAACATTTGTTTTATTTGCTGTGGCCGTAGTATGTGGCTCGATCGAGCCACTGCCAACGGTGTATTTGCGATGAGCCTATTTCAGCTTCATACAAAATACAGTCCGCAGAGTGTAGCAGCCACTAGTGACGACCACACGTGGCTTTTTTTATCTCAATGTTGTATTTTACAGGCGATTCCTTAATATCTTCCGAGTAAACTAAAGTATAGGATGTTCAGAAAATTTTATGTACAGGATGTAACTTTGAGCGGGGATCATATTTATACAGAGGCTTCCTTTGACCTTTAGAAACAATAGTTTTCAAATTCCGCCGTAAAAACTTATTTTTTTTTACCTTCTTTTAGTAATTTTCGTACCCCGCCACTGGAGAAGCTAGTGTAACCTTAAATAACGGCGAGCTTTAGTCACAGCGCATGTACAATTCACAAATGTACACAAACAGTACCTACTTAATAAGTAACCTTAGCAAAAAGCTCAAGTAGTAATCAATAATGATAAACGAAATACACAACAATAAATAGTCTGTTCATGGCTTCTAACGATGAAAACCATTCAAATTCGCAATTAGATGTACCTACTGTTTCCAAATGCGGAACAACAACTGACCAGTGTTATTCCTAGGGTATATTTCTATGTACTGAAATCAGTGATGCCAATGTACTGATTTGAAACTAAATTGTACTGACGCGGAAAATTCAAAATTTTAAAAAGGCAGTACTTGAATAGTATGTGTTATAAAACATCGAATCCGATTCCTATGTAAAAATAAACACAATAATGACTAAAACTTTTTAATATCTAATATTATGTGTACACTGTACAAATACACAAAATGATATAGTAGCTGCAGGAATTCAAGCAATACACTTATTATTATGAACAAACAAATGTCATATTTTTTATCAAAATATAAAAGAAAATGCAACTGAGAATAATGAAAATATACAGCGTGGTAAAAAAGTTCTGCATAAAATTCATATTTGTGTTAAACAATTTTTTTTTCGAAAAACGGTGAGACCCGTCGATTTTTAATTTGATCCAGGGCACCTTGTTATGTGGAAATTTTTTTTTTCGATAATCCACTTACGGCAGCGTTGACATATATATATTTTTTAAATGACAACGCATATTTTTTTCGTTCGAAATTGGTGACAGTGATAATTATCTAAACAACACGGTGTGAAAATTTCGATGTCTTACATAACAATTTTTTTTAGAAAAATGCACCTTAAATTCTTATAAGTGATAATTGTCTACTTACACTATTAATGGCTCCGAAAAGGACAAAGTTGACAAAATTACATTTCAAACGAGTAAAATTACACTAATGTTTGTGTAAGTCTAGCGAAATTGTTCGAATTGCCCACCCTGTACCATTTGGCATTGTCCTAAGCGTGTGTAAACGCCGTCTACACTTCGTTCAAGCATTCCCGGGTCGATTTGATTTATTTCAAAACGAATACGGTTTTTAAGTTCTTCCAAATCACCTGGTCTGTTTGTGTACACACGCGATTTCAAATAGCCCCACAAAAAAAAGTCTAGAGGTGTTAAATCAGGCGAACGCGGAGGCCACTCGATTGTTCCGCGTCGCCCGATCCACCGGCCAGTAAACGTGTTATTCAAGTACTCCCGTACTTGCACTCCATAATGGGGCGGTGCACCATCCTGCTGAAACCAAATTCTTTCCTCAGGAATATCAGGATCCTCGTTGTTCGGGAATAACTCTGCTAAGCTTGGGACCAAATCGAACCGCAGGAAATCCAAATAGCGAGCAGCAGTTAAATTTTCCTCGAAAAAATACGGGCCTAAAATACGACGCCCTATTATTCCCGCCCAAACGTTCACCTTTCGGGGGTGCTGATGATCTACTTCTTGCACCCAGTGCGGGTTTTCCTGAGACCAATACCGGCAGTTATGTCGATGCACCGATCCATTAAGATAAAAAGTAGCCTCGTCAGAAAAAATTATGTTCTTGAGGAAGTCGGGGTCTCCGTTACATCGATGCATTAAATCTTCACAAAAGTGGAGACGGCGGTCTGGGTCGTCCTCAGTCAATGCATGTATCAAGTGACCCTTATAGGGGTGAAATTTCTCTTTTTTGAGAAAGTTCACCACAGTTACATGTGAAATATCATTGTTCAATGCAATCGACCTTGTACTAGAATGAGGGTTGTCCTGGAGCTCCACCAGGATATTCAATCTAGTTTCATCATCTACTCTAGGACGACCCGCACGAGGAGCATCTTTCACACTACCAGTTTCCTCAAACCTTGCCAGTACCCTACTAACCGTAGATTGCGTAATTGGTGGTCTGTCAGGGTACGTTGCATTAAATAATTGGCAAGCTTCTTGATGGGTTCGTAACTTATCGCCGAAACCAATCATCCTCAAAATATCAATTCTTTCGCGTTCACTAAGTTTTGCCATTTCGAATTAAACGATTTCACCAAAGAATGTTAAATCGGTACTGATTTTTAGTCTTCAATATTTCAGGTAATCTACTCCTTTCAAGTAAACATTTCTTTGGATTTTTTTTTTTTGAGGAATTTATCGGCAAACTCGAAGACAAAAAGTCGACCTTAATTTGCTACATACTATTTGGATTTTGTGCGGTTGAACTTGGTTCTAAATTTTGCAGTTTAATCAGGATCCTGACAATATCTGATGAATAATTCCGCAAATATTACATAACACCAGTTGCAACTTAAGTTATCTGAAATGCTTTCTGCCGAATAAATTTTTTTCTAAGGCATTTGATCCGTAAACAGCAAATTATTGCATTCAAGAACTTAAGGTGCATTTTTCTAAAAAAAATTGTTATGTAAGACATCGAAATTTTCACACCGTTGTTTAGATAATTATCACTGTCATCAATTTCGAACGAAAAAAATATGCGTTGTCATTTAAAAAAAAATTATGTCATCGCTGCCGTAAGTGGATTATCGAAAAAAAAAATTTTTCCACATAACAAGATGCCCTGTATCAAATAAAAATCGACGGGTCTCACCGTTTTTCGAAAAAAAATTGTTTAATGAGAATATGAATTTTATGCAACTTTTTTACCACGCTGTATATTACACTAAATATGTTTACATTAAATTCGCTATCAATGTACTGATGTACATTTGTACCGATAGGAACAACATTGCAACTGACGCATTTCGCTTCGTCATTGTTTATCGGCACTATCTCCCTTCACATGCATTGTAGGTTGCCTACAATTCATGTATTTGATTACATTGACGACGTATACAAGTATTAAAGTGCATTTTAAAAAACTAATTATAACTCGAATTTATTTAATAAAAAAAAAAAATTTCAGATTCGTATTCAGGAGAACACGTAGGTTTGCTACTACCCCTAAAAACTGACTTCCACTTGAAGTTACATGCTGTATACCAACCAGCGTGAAAAGCACCAAGCAGCAGTGTACCTTTCTAGTATATCTATGAAAAACAAACTTAAATTGTCAAAAATAATTAAAATGAAAAGTAACATTTTTGAAGCGTTAACAACTTTTTGAAGTGCGCGATGTAAGTACATATAGTGATGTGGTTTTTTGCATTTTATATTTGCTTTTTTCAGTGTGTTATTCTCGGTTAGGCAAAGCTATTTTCATAAAAATAACCCTTGATTGATCCTTTTGGCGCAAGGGTTTATTTCCTTATTTTTTAAAATATTTTGGCATGACTCGGTGTAATAAACTTAAACAAATGTACATATAAACTTAAAAATATTTTGAAAGATTTAGAAGAAAGATTATTAAAAACTAATGATGTTATGCAATTATTATTTTTTGTTTGCAGCTATTTAATGAAATATACATTGAATAGAAAATACTATCCAATACTATAAATGTTTATTGCTGTAAGTGTTAAAAATGTTGTTAGCAATTTTCTACTAATTATGCACTCAAAAAAAAAAAAATGAAAATCTTTTAAGAACAATTGTTTTTTTTTGGTTTAATGCATATTATTCAAAATTATTTTTTGGGTAATATAACTTTTCTCTTCAATGATATTGAAGTTAGCAACAGTATAGAGCAGTAGTAGTAGTGGTATTTCACATAACATCTAGACAATATAAGTAATGTCTGAAAAAATTGTATGAGCGTCGTTCTGAGAACATTATGAAAGGTAATACTCTGACATCCCAGCGACATTTTAGATATAACAACAAATTTGGGATATAATTCATTGACTCCTTCAGATCCTAAAATGACTTATGTGTTATCTGGGTTCATCTGTGAACAAGAGAGTTCTTACACCTGCAATTAATAAAAAAGCTTGTTTGAGATATAACATTAAATAACATTGATATAAATCAAAATTATTTCCGCCAGTGAGGTCGATTTACATGATTATTATATGTCCTTCTACACCAATGAAAGCAATTCCAAAATATCTTTTTAAAGCAGAATTTAATTTTTTAATTAATAACAATCTTTGGATTATTTCACAAATATAAACACCCTTGAACTGCGTCAAGATTATAGAAAAAAGCTCAGATCCATCGATTTTAGATTAAAGGGGGACATTCTTTGTTGGTATTTTTGACTCCGCCACTTTCACCCCCAAGCAAGGGGTAAACATCACCCCAAAATATTTAAATGGCATTGGGGGTTGAGTAAAATTTCTTATGAAAACTCTTACAATTCTCTTTACAGCAGACTTGAAATTTTATAATTCCGCCTAATACTTTGAAGCATTTCCGGAGTGATTCGACGGCATTCGTCGACGATTCTTTGACGCAAATCTTCTAGCGACGCTGGCTGTGTTTGATAGATTTTACTTTTTAGGTACCCAAAAAAAAGAAATCAAGGGGCGATAAATCCGGTGATCGTGGAGGCTACTCAATGCTGCCTCTCCTCCCAATCCAATTCAGTAGAAAACGTTGGTCCAAATACTGACGGACAATTAATGCATAATGCGGAGGAGCATCGTCCTGTTAAAAAATCAAATGATCTTCATCATACTCTGGAACATTTTCAATAATATCAGTCAAGGCAGGGTCAATAGCGTCTTCAAGTAATTGCAAATACATTTGGCCAGTCAAATTACCAGGTAGAAAAAAAGGACCCACGAGCCGGTCACCAAAAATTCCAGCCCATACATTTAATTTTTCCGGGTGCTGTGTATGCAGCTCGTGAAAAACTCTTGGGTTTGAATCGGACCAATAGCGGCAATTGTGACGATTTACCGCCCCGTTCAAGAAACAACTGCATTTATCAGAAAAACAGATGTTAACTGTGGGGGCGAGCATGGAACTGTGGATCGTTCCCTGCTCGCTCACTCATTATTTCGCAAAATTGCAAACGGCGGTCATAATCATCCTCATGAAGTTTCTGGACTAAATGTATTTTGTATTGATGGAATTTAGTCTTCTTCAAAATGGTTTTTATGCTAGTTCGATTGATCCCAGACACAGATGCCAGCTGCCTCGTACTTAATGTAGGATCAAGATGATCTTGTCCCAAAACTGCAACTTCACTAGCTTCATTAACTATAGGTTTCTCAATTTCTCGTTTTTTATTGGCTACGTTCCCTGTCTCTTGAAATTCTTTTACTAACTCTAGAACATACTTCCTCCTTACATGTCGATTCTTGATGTTGTTCATTAAATAGCTGAGCTGTTCTATTCGCACATTTATTGTTCATAAAGTAAAGCGAAATGATATCGACCGAGTAAAATATAGTGTTTAAATTTCAAAAACACAATTAAATAAACTACCAACCAACGCTTCCAAATAATACTAGAAAATAATTTGGAATCCATTAATTTTACGTTCATTGTGTGTGTGTCTAGCATTCATTTCTGTTTTTTACAATTGTGTTTTTTTTACGAAAGTGATAACAAAATCGCCAAACACCAATGTAACGCAAGAAATACTAAATTTATACCATTGGCGTACTTAACTCGAATGACTAACATTTTTACCGTTACTAATTGTTTGTACATAAGTTTCAACTTTAAAATAAAAATTCTTAATAAGTATTTGGTGGAATTATAAAATTTAAAGCTTGTTGTAAAGAGAATTGTAAGAGCTTTCAAAAGAAATATTACTCAACCCGCAATGCCATTAAAATATTTTGGGGTGAAAGTGGCGTAGTCAAAAATACCAGCAAAGAATGTCCCCTTTAATCTAAAATCAACGGGTCTGAGCGTTTTTCTACAATCTTGACGCAGTTCCGCTCTGTTTCGTTTTCATTTGGCCACCCTGTATACTGTAACATTTTTTAATATATTCCTCTTACCTGAAAATTTAACTCTATCTGATGTACTAACGGGAATACTATCCTTATACCATCTAACTTCCGGTTTGGGATGTCCCACTACCTCACATGGGATCTGTATGTTGCTTTCAACATTATACGTTTGCTTATTTATGGGTATATTTACTTTAACCGGTACTGAAAAAAAGTATTGCATATTTATAATATGTAAATATGAGTTTTGTGAATACGCAATTAATAACATAGAAAATTAGTAAGTAACAAGAAATATAAAAAGCGTTATTGTTTATTCGCGTTTTCTCGATGGGCCTTATTGTTTATACAATACAGGATGCCCCAAAAGTTTGGGATACCACTCGGCCATCTTTGTCTACACTGAAATATAGTGTTCGAAATCGCAGGGATTTGCCCAGAAGTCGCAGACTTGTGCGGGGGAGGGGGCGGCGTATTATTAGGCCGCATGTACTCCCAGGAACGACTTACATTGATAAGCCGTAACAATCTTTCACATTGATCCTAACCTACGTTCTTCCACCCTACCAGACCCGCAGAGAGGGCATCTAATGCCTCTCTACGAATATAACTGATCAACGGTCTAAAGTCCGGGGCACTATGTCTACTGTTTTGGAACCAGTGCAGTGTTACTTAATAAATATTTGGAAAAATCTATTTTTTATATTTCAAGAACAAATAGTTGTAGGTTCACAAAATCTGAAGCAGTAATACCTACTTCTAGTACTTGATAAATCATATTAGTAGGTAATTCTGCGTTTTAGTAAATTTTTCATTCGTAATTAGGTACGAAAAAGACAGTTTACTATCAAATATTACATCTAAATCGTGGATGGTATGTGGCTTGGTAAGAATAGTATTATCAATACGGTAATCAAATACAACCGGTTGCTGTTTGTGAGAGGTCATGGCATAACACTTTTTAATACTAAGCTGTTAGTTATTAATATAGCAGCACAAAACAATTTTATTTAAAGCACATTGTAAATTTAAAGTCACTTGCGCTACTTATACTAGTATAGAGCTTCATGCTTCAATTAACATCTATTCCAACCGTAATATCATTAATGAAGATATTAAAGAAAAGAGGATCAAGAACCGAGCTTTGCGGTACACCAGAAGTCTACCAATTCCTTCGACAGCCGACCATGATATTCAACAATTGCATACCGTAACAAGTAGTAACACGTAAGTAATTTAGTTAATAAAACACCATGATCAAGTCGATCAAAAGTATTTGTGAAATCGGTGTATATTACATCTACTTGATTTGTAAAAGCACCCAAAATATATTGAAGGTTGGAGGTGGTGGATCTGCCCTTAAAAATACCATGTGATTTTCACTTATTCGATTCTTTACAAATAAAAAAATAAAATCATATAGAAGAAACTTTAAATAAATGATTGGCAATTGGAATTACATTAGAATTTTTTAATACATTAGGATAAATATTAAATCTAATTCACAAATTAAACAAAATGATAAAAAGTATAGCTAAAACCCAGGCATAATCATTAACTAAAAATGCAGGGATTTTATCTGGGCTCGTAGTATTTCTTGGTTTGATTCTTTTAAGACTGAAATCACCCTTGCTTCTGTGAATTGATTGAGATAATTGAGGTAATGAATTTAAATCTGAATAATATATTAAATTATAGTAGGATCGTATACGATGCAAAGTAGAGCAAAAAATTGTCGGCCTTTTATCCATGAAAAATCGTGTCATCATTTTTAGGAGGCGTAAGATAAATCATTTCAAATTTAAAATGAAATTCAATGTAAAATCTGAAATACCGCTGCATACGCACTGTGTTCTGGTAGTAGCTGTAGTCGCCCAGGTGCATCGAGTGTACGAACTGGTCGGTTATACGTCAAATACTAACCTGGCGAGCTTTGCCGTCAATTAGAGAGCGCTTCCAAAAAACAAGTAAACAACAGTGGCGCGTACAGAGGTAAAATGTAGTACATATGTGGAATTTAGGAAACAAATTGGATTTATAATAAATTACATTTAAAATAAATAGTTTATGAGAATAAAGGAATTTTTGTAGCAACAAGGGTGCCAGACCTGAACTGATCCCCTCGTCCCTTCATAATGTATAAAGAAATTATTCAATTTGTAAAACCCTTAAAGGCGTACTTCATTGGTTCCCTTGACAGGCAATGATTTATTACTTTGCATCGAATATGATCGTACTATAGTACTTACAATTCTTGGTTATGTTGTTTATAAATGGTCGATTAGTCTGTTCTTCTAAGTATAGTGGGACAGATGGACAACAAACTAGTTCTTCCATACCAACAAATCCACATCTTTTGAGTTCAGGAGTACCAGTCCTGATCATGGATTCTACAGCTGTAGGACAGTTCTTTATCCGTTTACATGTACCGTATGCTTCAGATATTTTACATTTTGATCCCTCTGAAAAGCGTGTGAATTAGTCCCGTATAAAGTAAGTCTCCTAAGAGAAAAACTGAAGATACGTATAATTAATAATAAAACGTTTCCGTAAACGTATAATTAGACATAAATCATCGGTGATTTGTAATAATACAATGCTTTCATAAATGCCCGAGTCCCATGTGACCAGATTTGTTTTGGCGCTCAATAAATTTGATTTTCTTAAGTTGGTATTTCAGAAATTACCAAGAAAAAATTACCATCTAGGGACCCTAGGTGAACTGTCAATCCAGAGGCGTTCGTAACTTTTCGTGTTCCTTTTGTCTATTATTTGTACAATTAATTAAGCAGTATTTACCAGAATTTCCATGCAAGAATTCGACTTTTGCATATGTATCCCTATATGGTCTCTGTTTCTTTTGTGCAAGAGTTACCTCCTCCTGATCCCAACCAACGAGTACGATATTCTGGATGGTTTATTGAACATTTAAATAATATATAGATATAATTTCAATAATTTCTCAGACCTGAGCTTTTAATCCGACGAGGCATAGGTTACGTAAAAAGTCAGAATTATACAACTTGGGCTCTAGAAAATCCGCACAATTTTATTGAAAAACGTTACATCCTCAAAAGATAGGTATCAGTAGCAGTTTCAAGAAGACGTATAATAGGGCCAATTTTTTCCGAGAAGTAATAAATAAAGAACGATATCAAACATTTTACAACAAGCCCGGGAATTAATGCATGACGCTAAACTGCAGCATGGTATTTTCAACAAGATGGAGCTACCGCACATTTTGCAGCAGAAACTATCTTCAGGAATTTTATGGTGATAGATTGGTTACTAGAGGTTTAAACATCCTCTCCACACACTTGCAGAGCTGGAAACAACAATTGTAAGTGAAATAAACATTATAACTCCGATTCAACTTGAACGCGTTTTTGAGTAGTTATATGAAACGTAGAGCAAATTTATGTTTGGAAAACGAAGATGGCAATTTTGAATATCTATTATAAATTTGATTGATGTAATCAATTTTTGTTAGCTGAGTAAAAAACTTTGTGTTTATGTAATAGTTTAAATAACTAGATGGATTTCACAGGGTCTAACGACACTTACAGTGTACGATAAATTCAATAAACAAAGAAATCTAAAAAAAAATATATATATAAATAAATTTGGAACGAATACACTGAAGATGAATTTTTCGAGACAAAACGTATGAATCTGGTTCGGGCTGAGGCAGTACAGTATTGGGGGTCATGAAGGCTTGCAAAAAATGTAAAAAAAATTCAAGGGTCGTATTTAAAAAAATGAAGTTTATGATGGTCCTGGAGAGACGAAACGTTACATATAAAAATTTATTATGCCATTCGATAGAGGGCAAAAAGTGATCATGAGAAAGTGTTATTCTTTTTTCAATATCACCTCAAGTAACGCTGAAATGAAACAAAAACGGATTTTCAAAATTTCGTTTTTTTTTTCAAATATTTTGAAAACTAGTCATGTTAGCCTTGATTTCTTAGAGGCGTAATGTTGGTCCCCTGATTACGCAACTTTGTCACCATTTAACCTACTTCGTACCTCTTACCGTTTCCGAGATCCCTGTAGTGAGAAGCGAATTTTTAACAGCCTGAATATGTACATAGGTACCTGTGTTGTCTCTAAAAGTCAGGTAACCACTGACGTCCCACTACGCACTACTAACCGTGCATTATTGGTTGCCAAGATCCATGGAAATTTCTTGCTATTTTAGTAAATAAATTAATGACATCTTGAAAATATGTATACCTTGTTCTTTATGAACTTATTCGACTCAGTCACTTCTCTTTATATTTTTGGAATTATTATTATTATCAAGACATACATATAAGGTGATGACCTTTAAGATGTACATAATTGGCAATTAATAACCTAAATGAAATAGAGATTATATTGCAAAATGTTGCGAATATTCATACCGTTTAGTCGAATCGTTACAGAAATTATCGTTTCTGACCCTTATCGGTTAGCGTAAGCATGGTGTTGTTGAACTAGTTATTTTATACATATTCCAAATTCCGTTACATCTGCGACTTTTCATAAAATAGATACAGAAAAAAGAGTTCAGGATATTTTATAAATGAAAATATACAAGTGTTTTATAATTAATACCTGTGTATCTCTTCTAATATAGGAGATTCCAATGGCGTACACATTAATAGTATTATATATATTAAATAAATAATATCAGCAAATCGTATTATTTTAGTACTCACCAAGACTTGACGAATTTACTGCTAAGCAATACTGAAAAATAAAAAACAATACATTTAATATGTACATGGTCTTATAATATTCACTATTGAACTGCATTAATATTGACTGTCACTTATGAAATTGATGCGTAAAATAATAAACACATTTATTTAATCTCATAATTATTATCGTTTTAAGCGGAATTAGTTGCAGATATATTTCTACAAAACAGATTGATATGATTTTTTGCTTCCATTAGGTCGCTGATTATTTATATAAATTATGTATTATGAAATAACAAACCTAAGTTATTTTTAATCCGTCGATGACTTCATATTTGTATTTTTATACAAATTTATATTTAGCCTATAGAACCTAATTTAAACCATTAGGAAAAACCAGGACTAACTAATGAATGTAGAAAATTACAGTACCAAATATAAAACTTTTAAGAAAAAGAAATATGAATTTCTAATAATAGCAAAGAAGCAACTTTCCATTTAATTGAAACAATTTATGATGAAGCTTACAGGATGTTTTGAAAAAACGTGCCATGAACTTAATGGGCTGGTAGAACTTAAAAAATTATGAGAATTTTTTTCCTATGATTTATCGTCTTTTGTTTACAGGAGATACAGAATATCAAAGATTATTTTTTAAATAAATTCAAAAATTCTACTTCATTTAATGACTTGGATTCACTATGTGTACAGGGTGTCCCATAAGCACATGATCAAAAAGGTACTGCGACATTATTTGGCTCAAAAGAAGACGATTTGACCTAACTTTCATTAAGAAAAAATGTCTGGTTCCTCTGTGTCAAAGTTCTTGAAAAAAAATATGTTTTTGGAGAATGTTACGATGGATTTTAATGAAACTTGCTGTGGACTTGTTTCTAAGTAAAACTCATGTTTTGATGAAGCAACCGCGTCCATCTGCCTTGGGCTAGTGGTAACTTCTTGAGTGTCTTGGTACAAGAATCACCAGAACTTTTTATTTGGTTGCTGGAATTAATTCATTATATTTTTATTGATGCATCAGTCCTTTTTCGAGATTTTCGTGCTCTTGTTAAAATCTTATAGCATTCATAGTTTTTACGTAAAAAGTTTTTTTCAATTTTAGACAATCATTATCACTACTACTCAACTACGACAACTACTCACTACAATTAGTACTATCGTAGTAAGCGATGATGTCATTTTATAATAAATGCATTGTCAATCAATTCGTTTCGAATGGCGTTTTCTAATGAAGAGATGACCGACTGATTATAGTCTTGAGGCCGATTCTCATTAGACGAGCAAGAAACCGGATCGGCAACGGCAGGGCACATACTCGGCATGGGCCGAGTTTTCAGAGACAATTCAAGACCGATTCTCATTAGACGAACAAGAAACCGGATCGGCAACGGCAGGGCACATGCTCGGCATGGGCCGAGTTTTCAGAGACAATTCACACTGCGACAAGACATGCTGTAGGTAGTAGTTCCCTAGCTTTGTGAAATAATGTTCGCGACTTCCATTTTGGTAAAAATTGTTCTAATCTTAGATGAAGAAGAGCAAGAAAATAAAAATTCTCGAAAAATAAAAATACGTTTTTTTAAATTACAAAATTTTATTGTTAAGAAATCGTGTTTGTTTTAATATATCTGTATAGATTAATACATGTTTGATAATAATAATGTTGCAATCTCTCGCCAATTTTTTTCCATATCATGTTTTTGTAGACACTCTCTGAGTATTTTTTGTGAGAAAAATCGTAAATAACCTTATTTTCTCTGATATATTCAATAAGAATTTCATCTTGTTCTGACGAAACTCAACTAAAAACCCTATGATTGCAAGTTGACTTTAAAGTCGATTCTCACTTGCATGCAAGGCATGTTTTTGGCACAGGCAAAGCACCGGCTCTGCAAAATATCTTAACCATTGTATCTTATGGGTTTTGAAGGGTGTAATTCACACTATACGTGTAGCGTCTCGGCAAGCGACAGACTTTGCACGCGACGTTCTTCCGAAAGAATATTTGCAGTGCATGTGCCGTGCATGTTCCGACAAGCGTGAATACTCTCCAGGCAGTCAACTTGCAATCATAGGGTTTTTAGTTGAATTTCGTACTGACAAGAAAACATAAAGCGTCAGCAGAGGCCCACTTTTTCGTCAGAACAAGATGAAATTCTTATTGAATGTATCAGAGAAAATGAAGTTATTTACGATTTGTCTCACAAAAAATACTCAGGCAGTGTCTACAAAAACATGATATGGAAGAAAAATTTTTTAGCATTGTATGCACCCAAAAACGCCTTTTTATTTTTCGGGAATATTTATTCTCTTGCTCTTCTTCATCTAAGATTAGAGCAATTTTTACCAGAGTGGAAGTCGCGAACATTTTTTCACAAAGCTAGGGAACTATTACCTGCGGCATGTCTGTCGCAGTGCGAATTGTCCCTGAAAACTCGGCCCGTGCCGAGTATGTGCCCTGCCGTTGCCGATCCGATTTCTTGCTCGTTTAATGAGAATCGGCCTTAAATCTACGGGCTCCAGATTACCGATTTACATGGATTGAAAAGAGTTTGCGAGAGACCGGGCATTTGGTGTTCGACCGTGTGGGTCGTCCTCAAGTACGAAATGCAGCCATTGAGGGAGACGTTTTAAATAGGGTCGCTGAAGATCCAAATATCAGTACTCGCGGTCTGACAGTGGAATTTGGCGTACCAAAAAGTACAATTAATCGCATCATAAGACAACAGCTTCTCCATCCTTATCATGCGACGTCTATTCAGGAGCTTTCATACCATTTTGAGAGAAGACTTCAATTTAAGGAGCGTCGGCACGCGATCCCAATTTCACCAGCCGAATTTTATTCACCATTNAAAGAATATTTGCAGTGCATGTGCCGTGCATGTTCCGACAAGTGTGAATACTCTCCAGGCAGTCAACTTGCAATCATAGGGTTTTTAGTTGAATTTCGTACTGACAAGAAAACATAAAGCGTCAGCAGAGGCCCACTTTTTCGTCAGAACAAGATGAAATTCTTATTGAATGTATCAGAGAAAATGAAGTTATTTACGATTTGTCTCACAAAAAATACTCAGGCAGTGTCTACAAAAACATGATATGGAAGAAAAATTTTTTAGCATTGTATGCACCCAAAAACGCCTTTTTATTTTTCGGGAATATTTATTCTCTTGCTCTTCTTCATCTAAGATTAGAGCAATTTTTACCAGAGTGGAAGTCGCGAACATTTTTTCACAAAGCTAGGGAACTATTACCTGCGGCATGTCTGTCGCAGTGCGAATTGTCCCTGAAAACTCGGCCCGTGCCGAGTATGTGCCCTGCCGTTGCCGATCCGATTTCTTGCTCGTTTAATGAGAATCGGCCTTAAATCTACGGGCTCCAGATTACCGATTTACATGGATTGAAAAGAGTTTGCGAGAGACCGGGCATTTGGTGTTCGACCGTGTGGGTCGTCCTCAAGTACGAAATGCAGCCATTGAGGGAGACGTTTTAAATAGGGTCGCTGAAGATCCAAATATCAGTACTCGCGGTCTGACAGTGGAATTTGGCGTACCAAAAAGTACAATTAATCGCATCATAAGACAACAGCTTCTCCATCCTTATCATGCGACGTCTATTCAGGAGCTTTCATACCATTTTGAGAGAAGACTTCAATTTAAGGAGCGTCGGCACGCGATCCCAATTTCACCAGCCGAATTTTATTCACCATTACTCAGAAGAAATGCCTCATGCGAGGCGTATTAACCACTTTCAGGTGGAATTTCCAATAAATGTTTGGGCCGGGATCATCGGTGACATCCTTCTGGTTCCCGCGCCGCTTGAATAGCGAAAATTATTTATATTTTCTGACAAGTACTTTTCCGGTTCTAATGGAAGATGTCCCTCTCGATCTTCGTGCTCAGATGTGGTTCATGCACGATGATGCTCCTCCGCAGTTTATTGCAAATGTAACTGCACATTTAAATAATACTTTCCACGCAAGTGGATCGGAAGAAGAGGGAGAGATGTTCCTGTCGAGTGGCCCCCCAGGTCCCCCGACTTAACGTGGTTAGATTTTTTTCTATGGGGAGCCTTGAAGAATAAAGTTTACGCTACTCCTGTGGATTCCCAAGAAGAATTATTGCGTAGGATTCAAAACGAGGCGGATGTAATATTGAAAGATTCAAAAATGTTGAGGATGGCTCAATTCAATTTTAATATCGAACATGTCTTGTAATTCCACCATCATCTATCGTATCTATGTAACTATCATCCAGTTTCAATAAAGAGAATTATGTCTTTCCTAAGTACGTCTTTACATTTTTTGAGTGTTAACAAAAAATAAATCTAATGAAGTAAAATGATATTCAAACCGTCGCATTGTGACAGACTTTAAAGTTGCGACCATTTTACTTTCAATAGTGATATTAGGCGGTCGCGGTCCGTTCTGGGCTGAGCTGCTCGCGGTCTTTTTTAGAAACGAACGCATTAGCGCCGGGTTCTAATTGAGAAAATATTTCTGATCGCGTGAGCGTGCGACTCGATAATCGCGCCGTGTATCGCTCGATCATCGGCGCTTTGTCCAAATTGAGTGGAGGATTTTAGGATCGTTTAATAGTAAAATGACGCACGATCAATGCAGACGTCTACTTTGTGAAAACATTAACTTCAAATATTTAAGTTTTTTTAGGAAAAGAAAAATGAAACGTCCATATATAAAACACACAATACATCATAGCAGAACACAATCTGGAGATTTTGTTTCTTTTCTTTTAAAACTGCTGCAATGGCCTCCCATTCCTTATCTACGGCCACTCTGTTTTTATATAATGGAGACCATTTGTTCCAAATAGTAGGCCGCTTTTGAATTTCGTTTATTAATTGTTCTACTTGCTGTTAAGCCATAATTAGAATAATCAACGAAAAAATTTTGATATTTTATCACCGCCAATCGCGCGACTCGACGACGAAAATCAAACTGATTTGAAAAACAAACAAGTGCGATCACGCGATGCGAACTTATCGCATCGCGCGTTCGCGCGATCTCTCTAATTTGACCATCTACACCACACCACGAAGGTTTGATTGTTCATCGCGTTGCTCGTTCGCTCACGCGATCAAAAATTTTTGCCAATTAGGAGCCGGCGTTAGGCGTTCGCGATCCCGTCC